GGACGTTGTGATCAGAATTTATTTTTTAAGTATATACTTTTAGAGTAAGTTTTCATAACGACTTACGGAAAACAAAATGAGGCTTCTAAATTTTCTGGTGATTATTCCCCTGTATCGCAAAATATTATATGCGAAATTGTATTCGCCTGTAAACTCGTATTATTTCAGGAAATCTGTTTTTGATATAAAATCGTTTAATCATCTTACTATAATAGGCGGTTACATCTTCTATCCATTAATCATCGCTGACTCCTTCCGATTGCTACAGAATTTTTATGTATGTGTTTTGTGAACTATTATAAATTGCAAAAGAGTTTGCAAATTTATTCCTATTGGGCATTTTTTAATTTGGCATCCAAAATTTCTTGCCAAGAGGCAACTAAAAAGGCATTCTGAAAGCCTTGCCCATTCTAACTACATCGCTGATACTTAGTCTAGTCTCGTATTAAAGTGTATGGCTTAGAAAAGTAATAAAATTTCTGAAGTACGTTTTGTTTAGTTCCAATGACAGGTTTACAGGTTAACAGATATCACTAAAAAAATAAATACAAAGAACAAGACAGAAACAAATGACATAAGTTAATCCATCCACTTAAGTCTAGCAATCCAATAACGCTTTCATAAAGAAACAGGAGCAAGGTGAGACATATCCATTTCTTCTTGGTTATCACACAGGAGACAGATAGGGTCGGGAGTCAGTCTGATTCTGTGAAGGTGCTTGTGGAAACAATTGTGACCACAGAAAACCGTAGCAATGTCATCAATTTTCTCTAGGTCATTCAGGGATACCAGGACTTGTGACTGTTTCTATCGGCAACATCCTCAAAGAAGGGGCACCTAAGGGTCTTTTTAATGGTCATCTCACTTGTTTTGGGAGAAGCCCCCTGCGTTCCACTGCAGAACTCTAGGAAACTTACACTGAGAGCCAGACTGAAGGCTGTATTTGTAGATCATTTTGCCGTATCAGACGTTGCCCGGAGTGCATCACGAGGAGGTAGATCTACGTTGCAATCCTTTCTGAAGAATATAAAATGAAATATCATATTTCTTTATTATACATAGGAACATCTTTTAACAGTGAAAATAACATATCTGTCAGAATATTATGATGAAGCATCCTTCTGTTAGAATATTCTTATTTTAAAACAAGATGTCCCTCCGAAATGATCGTGTTGAAGTTGTGACGGATAAGGTCTAGAATTCATTTCCCCCTTCTCATGGACTTCCCTCGCTCTGTTTTTACTGCAAATTTTAGAGACTTTTGACCGGGCACGACTTTTTACAAGGACACCTTTGCCGTATCGGAGTAGCCAATATTCCTGACTGTGTCTTGTATTCTTCAGGCATTTTTATGGATTTTACACATTTGACAAGTTATCCTGCACCCTCTTTTATGAACTGTTCTCCAGACAACTTTTATAACAAGGCTTTTTTTTTTTTTATCGGGCTGTCAGAGGGCTCATGGCAGATATGACCTTCGTCCCGACGTAGGAATAAAAATGTATGGTCTCAATTGACGCGTTGAGACACGAACACATGAAAGACAAAAGAGACCGTTGTTTATTTACAACATCATTGCAAAGTGTTTCTTTGATTCAACTTTTACAGTACATGCTCGAAATTGCATCCACCAACAATAATACATGCTTGGTAACGTAGGAAGGGTTATTGGCAATCACTTCCAAAGATGGCAGGCAGTTTACATACTCTTGCAGCCGCAATGGATATTCGAACAAGGAGGTTCTCAGTTAAATCAACTGATGTCTCGTAAATGAAAACACGGTGGAATAAGAATAAATTAGAATAAGAATAAATAGAATAAGAATAAATTAGTGTGTATGAGGTTGCCAACTAGAGAGCCAAACTCAAGTATCAGCTGGCACATTGTGCCTGCTTGTTGCAAAAATTGTTTGAAAGTGTATTCGTTCATCAACAGTCACCTCCCCCTTGTCACATCATACACTTCTGAACAAAAAAAAGTATGTTTTTAGTACGCTATACTATCTTTAAAGTTTGTCCCATGACCGCTGAATCACTTTGTACCGATACAATCTTTTAATTATTGTTTTTAAAATAAATATTTTAAATAAATTAATTTGTAGTAGAGATTCCAAAACAACATAAACTAATATTTTGAACTCTGTTTTTATGCAGGAATTTTGGTTTTTAATTTCACTGTTACCAACTTTAAAGATGAATATCAGAGAATCAAATTAAATTATGATTTTAGTTGCTAAATGAATTCTTTAACTCCCAGAGTCTAATTTAAAAAAAAAACACTACGCTGTTATTTGATCGTGGTCCCTTTAATTAACTTGTCACTCATCTAATGTTTACAAGTGTATTAAAAAAATCAGAACCTCAAAATAAGTAATTCGAAACTTCATCCTTCAAGTAATTAGAAAATGATAAATCGTCAGAGCCTATATTGAATAAGTACTTGTTCTGAAATAGGATAGAATTTGATGGATGTTTATTATCATGTTCCTAGTGATTGAAACATCATAAAATATATTCTGTTTCACTACAAAATTATTTGGCATGAAAAGTGATTTTGTTTAAAAAAAATTATTTTTTTAACACATTTAATATTTTTGACTAAAATTTGACCTAGTTTTATTTTTATTATAACTAATAAATTTGAAAACAAGTAATATATATAAAAAAAATTTTTTAACTTATCCTTTTACATTTCCTACTTATTTTTCACTGTATTGCAGAAAGTCCTTAATTAATAATTTTTTTAATTTTATCTGGCGCCATCTATTGGTAGATACATACAATTTAAATCTAAAAAAACTAAACTTAATTAATTAAATTTTATTACTGAATTAATATTTAAAAAAACAGTATTAGCATAAAGTGTCATAAACTACAAATTCAAAAAAATGTATTTGAACTTGAGTGGATGAATAAAAAGTATTTTATGAACGATTGAATATTTGAACAAGATATATTTGCTGAAGTTTTAAGAAATTGGATATTTTTCAGTTAATGGAATATCAATCATAATTGTGCTCTACATTGCTAAATGTGATAAAATGTTTAATTTAACAACAGTGACACTATATGCTGTTAGGACTGCCATTCCTCTCTTTAATTAGATTTTTTGCCAAGATATGTGTTTGGCAACAAGTAGTATATCCTTTATCAAAAAGTACAAAATTTTTGAAAATATTCTGCAAGATTAGTTTAAATTTGAGAAAAAAAGTGTTAATTAAATTATTAGTTAAATAAATTATTAACTAATACAAATTATTAATTAATTATTAATTATTGAAAATATTAGCTTATGAGAAAATTGAAAGAAATAGGTTTCTGGTTGATTAAAATTAAATAATATTTTTTATAATTTAAATAATTAAAAAAAAAATTTATTTTTTATTCTTTAAAGGTTTAAATATATTTTTGTGTTTGTTATAAAATAGAGATTTTAGGGTCTCTTATATTTATGAATGGCCCGACGAACGATGGAGAGATTGCATTTTCAATCGAAGAAGACTTTTAAGAGTAATTATCAAGCTTTTGTCGATGTGAGGCTTTTTACAAAAGCTGTCAAATCATCAATTCTCATCATTTCTGAAATTAGTGACTGTAATAGATGCTATTTGGCCTTCAAACCTGTACCCTCCTACCAGCTAACTGTGCTGCCTAAAATCAGACCAGGCATGATGAAAAACTAAAAAAATGTTCACTGAACTTAAATGAATTATTAATTCCCATAAAACATAGAATATATCATCCCAATACGTGAATTATATAATGATTACAAACAATTTTACACTAATACAAAAAATATTTATAAACATATATTGGCCCCAGGGGCCTGATGGCCGAGTGGCTGGCTCTGGCGCTCGGTACTACAGGTTTCGGGTTCAAATCCCGGCTTGCCCATGGATATTTCTAGTGGTTCGGAATCCACTTTAAACTGTAGGTCCCGGTCCTAACAGGATCGCGTTGAAGGGGCAATGTTACACCGCGTCAGTGGCTTATCTTCAAGTTACACGCGCACCCTGGGTAGTGAAAAGTGAGTAATATCTGTGCAGCACTTGCCTTAAGGCATCAAATACAATTGTCTAACAGCTTGTCAGCTGCATTAGAAAGAAAAAAAATATTGGCACCCATATCGACATCATCATATAATATTAACAGGTAAAATTGACTGAATATTTTTAGTAATTTGATTCAAAAGGAGGGCCATCCTTTATATGAAACTGAAAAAACTCCTGAATTTATAGGAGACTCATATTTGGGAAAAGAAAAATTTATCTTTGAAAATATTGATCCTTTTTTTTTTTTTTAGAGAAATTCAAAAGAATTCTTAGATTTCTGAGGGTATATTAGTTAAAGACCTTAAAAAAATAAGAATTATAAACGAAAATCAATATTTTATTAGAAAATGTCCAATACAAGTAAAAAATAAAATAGCAAAGATGCATGATTATTTTAAAAGGGAGAAAATTATTACGTTATTGGTATTTTACAATAAATCACTATTTTCAAAAAAATTAAGGTAAACAAAATTTTAAACATTAAATCTGTAACCTAAAAATTTAATGTAATTTTATTTACATTTATAAATATGAAATTTGATTTATATGCGCTTTTAAATATTAAAATATCAAATATTACATAATACATCATAAAAATTAAGAGATTAAAAAATGTTATTATTTTACAAATATTTTTGAAATTCGTACTTCTTAAAAAACGTATTGTTTGTTATTTCTTATCCCACTTGGCTGGCCAAGCCCACGAGCTCATACGTACTCATGATTGAAGGGGAAGGAAGCAGCTTCTGTTGTGATTGAGCACCCGTAGGTAGAAGTCTGACTTTGGCTCCGTGACGCTCTTACAGTCATAGGAGACCGGGACCTACGGCTTAAAGTGGATTCGAACCACTACAAACATCCATGGCACCGCCAGATTCGAACCCGAACCCTGTGGCACGCCAGAGCGCCAGAACACTCGGCCATTCATGTCCCAAATTTGTGAATGCCAACGGCACGCTGTGTTCCCAGGTAGTCACCCACCCAAGTACTGACCGCGCCCAATGATGCTCTAACGAGAACCGGTATATTCAGCATGGTATAGCCGTTGGCTTAAAAACGTATTAAAATTACAATAAAGAGCCTGTTATTTTAGCTACTATTCTTTTTCTCTCATAGAAATCACTATATGTGCGAAAAAAACCTAAATTAATAAATGATAATGATATTTTTAAGAGGCTGGTTGTCAACTAAAAAGTTCTGCGTATTTTTGAAACATAATTATTTTATAAAAAGAAAACCAAGATTAAATTTATTTGAAATAAAAGATTTGTATCTTTTATATTATTATATCAATTAATTATTTATTATTTACGTCTTTAATCATATCTCTCTCTCTGTAAGAAAATCGTCTCTGTTTACAGATTTTCAGATTGCATTGTTTATGCAAGGCGTTTTCTTACTATATTTGAAATGGGATTTTTCCAGTTCCAAAATAAAAAACGTGCCTCAGATTTTTTTTAGTTGTGAAAGGCCTGGGGTTCCAAAACTTTTGGACTAAAAACGGGTAAATGTTTGTAACGGTGGATGTTTGTAGTGATTCGAAATCGACTTTAAACGTAACAACTCTGTCTAGTTTGACTGTAGAGCGTTTTGGGCGCCGGGAGGACAATCCTACCCCTAAAAAGAAATCTGTCTCAAAATTTGCCATTAGTCAGACGGCCTACCATGGGGCTGTTGCCCCAATAAAGAAGAAGATGTTAGTTGTGTGAACAGTTTCAACTTTAATTCTATTATTGTGTTTAAATATAATGTTATCTTTTGTATGAAGTGAAGTCCGTGACTTCGATAAAAATGTAAAGATAATAAATTTAGAATTTATAATGATAATTGATTTGTAATGGATTTTGGCAATGATATTGAGGATGGGTGCAAAGATCTTGCGTTTCAGAATTTTAAAACATGGAAATGAGAAAAAACACCGAAGAAACCTTTATATAAGTTATAAAAAACTCGTGCATTTTTTTTAATGAAATTCAGGGCATTCAGTAGCATATTTAAAACACACGGGGAAACTCTTTGGAATTGAATCCTAATTGGTAGTTGAATAAGCTAGTATACTAAGGAAATAATGTTGATGAAAGATTAGTTAATAAAAATTATGATTAGATTACAATTTTTGATGGCTATTTAAATATCTCTGAGGTTGGAGTCCTGGTGGTGTCATGGATATTGTATCGGTTCGGAATCCACTTTAAGACGTAGGTCCCTGTCTAATATGACTGTTGGGAGTAGGGCTGATAACCCTATCCAATAACAAGAAAACATCTCCTGTCTCAAAATCTGCTAGTAGATAGATAGCCTTGGCCCACTATGGGCCTGTTCTTCCAATGAAGAAGAAAAGAAAAACTCAATAAAATGATACAGGCATTAAAAATACAAATTTTAATGAGAAAGGGTAAAATAATTTATCGGGAATATATATATATAGTTAATTATAGGATCGTGTTATTTATCGCGTGTTATTTATCGTGTTATTAATTTGTGAAAAATAAAATGATTTTTTAAAAATACTTTTACTATATTTGAAGTGAAAAACCGACTATAGAATAAACTAGCTGTTTGCAATACTAAACCAAATTGCTCAAAAGAATTTTGTTTGAAAAAAAAAAAAAAAAAAAGAATAAAAATAAAATCTGTCAAGAAGGTAGAATAGTTTTTTTTTTTTTTACTCTTTCACAACCAAAACTTGATCTTACGGTTTGAAATCAGTTTGACTTTTAGAAAATCTATCATTCCAACACCTATGGGGAATTTAGTGCCACGTAATTTTTTTTTTTCCACCTCCTCTTTTCTTCTCATGGCTCTTCCTTGAAACATAACTCCTAAGTCGATTTCAGAAGTTTGGAAGATTCATTGCTGGGAAGAATCTTTCGTTATTTCGAAAAAGATTTTTCTTTTTCGAAAAGGGTACAAAGAGTTTTCTTGTAGTACTTTCCCCCACTGTTTTGATTTAGCGGAACGGAAGTGAAGAGGGAAAAAAATCACGTGCTTTCGAACTAAAATAAAGCTTTGTTGTTTATCGAGAAAAAGAAGAACTTTTCTGGAATGAAAGTTTAGAGTTCCGTTTTCGCGTTGATTTTACTTGTTTGGCAAGCATTTGAGAAAGAAAGAGAAAACTTAATGAGGTTTCGTTTATTTAACAGAAGAAAAGTTTTGGATTTTTCTGGGGTTTTCTTCAGAAGTAATTCACAAAACAAGAGATAAATTAAAACCTTGAACATGTTAGATTATATTTCTTTGGTGTGATTGCGAATAAATTGATTGCTTTCTCAACATATTTGAGTTAAGGTGAGGAAAGAAACATATGGGTTCATTTACTTTTTTCTTTTTCAATTTGGAAAAATGTTTTAAAAATAACACTGGAGAACAAATTACGACACGAGTTACAATAAAGTTTATTTAACACAAAGTTTCAAATTGAATCAATTTTCTGTGATTAGAAAAAAAATCAGGAAATTCTAAGCGTTTGCAAATTCTCTTTCCTCAAATTAAATTCTAATGTTGAAAAAATATTTCTATTGTCATTTTCCTTCCTAATTCTAATTTTAACTTAATCGAAAAGAAAATTTATACGCATTATTATAGAAGTTTAATAATCTTTAAGTATTTTAAAAACTGTAACATTCGGTAATAATTATACAACGCTATACATCGTATCCGCAAGTTAATCATACTTCATAAAATTTTGAAACATGTGAATAAATACTGATAAAATTATTTGAAATCATTGGTGGAGAATCATTTGTTGAAAATGAGACCTTGACCTTATGCAAAACATTTCAATTGATGTATGGTCATATAAGGCCGGTACCCACTGCTCTAAGGCCGGAACCTACGGCTTAAAATGGATTCCTAACCACTACAAACATCCATGGCACGGCGGGGACCCGAATTGGAAACCTGTCTTACCGAGAACCAGAGCACTAGCCACTAGACCATCAGGTCGTTGGTCTAATATCACTACAGAGCGTTGCCCATAAAAAGATAAACATCTCCTGTCTCGAAATCCGCCAATAGGCAGACGTCCTTGGCCCTCCATGAGGTTGTTGCGTTAATGATGATGATGATAATATAGTTAATTTTAGAAATACACTCAAGAGCCAAAACATTATGACTACCCCTACATTTTGCAATGAACTCGCCTGGATGACGTGGAAGGCACGTGATCAGGTGGAAGTGGTATTTAACTGGTATTAAGTGGTGGTATTAATCCATGCCAAGGCGGGTTGAAGCTGTGTTGGGCGCCAAATGTGGATCAACTCGTTATTGACGGGTGGTCATAATGTTTTGGCTTTTTTGAGTGTAACTGTTGTTTAAAAATATATTGTTTATCATGTTGTTTAAAAATATATTCAACTGCATGTTTTAAATAAAAAGAGTCAGTGAATACTAATTTTTGAAAAATAAAATGATCTATTTAAATATTTTTGCTATTTTAGTCGCTATAACTGAAATGAAAAAAAAAAGCAACTACAAAATAAACTTGCTGTTTGCGATTCTAAAGTAAATTGCACAAAGAATTTTGTTTGAAAAAAAAAAAAAAAAAAGAAAATGAAGAAAATAAAATCTCTCAAGAAGGTAGAATAACTTTTTTTTTCTTTTTCAAAACCAAAACTTGATCTTACGGTTTGAAATCAGTTTGACTTTTTAGAAAATCTATCATTCCAACACCTATGGGGAATTTAGTGCCACGTAATTTTTTTTCCACCTCCTCTTTTCTTCTCATGGCTCTTCCTTGAAACATAACTCCTAAGTCGATTTCAGAAGTTTGGAAGATTCATTGCTGGGTAGAATCTTTCGTTATTTCGAAAAAGATTTTTCTTTTTTTCGAAAAGGGTACAAAGAGTTTTCTTGTAGTACTTTCCCCCACTGTTTTGATTTAGCGTACGGAAGTGAAGAGGGAAAAAAAAATCACGTGCTTTCGAACTAAAATAAAGCTTTGTTGTTTATCGAGAAAAAAAAGAACTTTTCTGGAATGAAAGTTTAGAGTTTCGTTTTCGCGTTGATTTTATTTGTTTGTCAAGCATTTGAGAAAGAAAGAGGAAACTTAATGAGGTTTAGTTTATTTAACAAAAGAAAACTTTTGGATTTTTGTGTTTTTGTTTTTTTTTCTTCAAAGGTACTTCACAAAACAAGAGATAAATTAAAACCTTGAACATGTTAGATTATTTTCTTTGGTGTAATTGCGAATAAATTGATTGCTTTCTCAACATATTTGAGTTAAGGTGCGGAAAGAAACATATGGATTCATTTACTCTTCTTTTTTTCTTTAACAATCTGGAAAAAAAGTTTTAAAAATAACACTGGAGAACAAATTACGACACGATCACCAAACACAAAGTCTGAAATAGAATCAATTTTGGGTGATTAGAAAAGATCAGAAAATTCCACACGTTTGCAAAGTCGGTTTTACTTATGAAATTAAATTCTAATGTTAAAAAAATTATTTCTGTTATCATTTTTCTTCCTAATTCAAGTAAATCTAATTTTAACTTAATCGAGAAGAAAATTTATGCGCGTTCTTACAGAAGTTTAACAATACTTTAAGTACTTTAAAAGACTATAATATTCGGTAATAATTGTGGGAAGTTATACATTGTCTACAAGTTAATCAAACTTTATAAAATTTTGAAACATGGGACTAAATATTGGTAAAATTATTTTAAATCATTTGTGGAGAATTATTTGTTGAAAGTGAGCCATTGTTCTTATGCAAAACATTTCAATCGATGTAGTCATGCGCAAACACCTGCGCAAGTCTAGAAAACGACTCACGCGGCATAAGCAATTCAAACAGGTTTCGTGCAATTAATATGTGAAGAAACTTTTTTAATGGTTGAACAAGAAGAAAAATGATTAGGCAAATATGTCAACTGGTCACAATTTCGAAAAAAAGAATCGTTCGGAATTGTGGGATCTGGGCCATCACAAACCAAGGTGTCTCTAATTCTGAATGTGCCCCAGAGTATGATCTCAAGATTGTGGCAGAGGTTATAAGGTGAAGGGATTTGCTATCTGACAGCCAGTACCAAGCCAGCCAAGAGTCG